TTGGGTATTAAACTGACCCCTAAATTATCAGACCTTTTACGCAGCTAATTATCTCTTCCGATGCTAAAAACCATCTTTCTGCCCTTTTGACCAAATGGTCCTTCCTTACCCCCTCGCATGCTAGCAGAATAGCAGTTTATCAAGATGTCAATCCTCCCAAAAATTCTTTATCTGTTTAGAGTCCTCCCAGTCCCCAGTCCCCCCACTACCTCCGCACACTACAGCGTCGCATTTTTTTCCTATGTATGGGGTAATACTCGTCCTCGTTTAACCTCACTCCACCCTATACCGTCCTAGCTCAATGGTGGTCTTGGCCTACCCTGACATCAGCAAATACTATCAAGCAGCGCTTTTAGCCCAATTACCTAAGTACCATGCAACCTTTGAAATCCCCTCAATGGGTTGCACTTGAAAATCTATAGAATGTGACCCGCTTATCTACAGCTAACTTGCTCTGGTTGAGGCCTATATAGACGCCGTTCTATAAACAATCCCATCAATTCTCACTCTTTATCCTTATGGGATAAACTGAAAACCCGATATCCCCTCCAATCGCTACATAATCCTCTGCTCTCGTTTTTTATTACGAAAACCCAGCTTTTCCCCCAAGCCTGGCAGACACCCCTTTTATTCAAAGCCTGGGTCCTCTTCTAATTTACTCACTCCGTACGCATCATTTCCTGCAGAGGAATAAGTTTAAATCCTTTGCCTCGCTGCGGGAAAACGACATGGCCTCCAGCTTCCGAGATATTCAGATACTTACAGCTACAACACTTTTACGCCCCCTACGCTACAACAAACGAATCGGCCAGATGCTATGTCTTTCTTTGAACAAGCATGCTACAAAGACCCCCATAGACGTGGGGCTTATTTCTTGCTTGTATGCACTCTTCACTATTTCGATTACCACGTCCCCCCCTCTGTATACCCATAAGTGGGAAGTGGATTTGGGCAAGAAACTCGACCCATCTGACTGGGATCACATTTGGCTAACACAAAATCATCTTCACAGAACATTGTAGCACTGGAAACGAATTATAAAGTTTTAACCCGCTGGTACTTGGTCCCAGCAAGAATCGCAAAATTTACCCCTAATTACTCGCCCAACTGTTTTAGAGGCTGTACAGACTTAGGGACACACTATCATATGTGGTGGGAATGCTCAGTGGCCCGAGTCTTTGGGATGAAATTTTCACCATGCTATCTACACTTAGCGCTATCACTCTACGACCTGATCCAACAACAGCCCTACTCAATCAGTGCCCCCCTGCGTCTCCAACTCGCAATTCAAGCTCCTTATGCAAGTTACAACAGCGGCTAAGCAGGTTATAGCGAAATCCTGGAAAATCCCCCACCCTTAGTGTTGCTGCAGTCAAAACCAGAATAACACAAGCCATGATACATGCAAAGGTGGAAGCCACAATTCTAGACACGATCCCTAAATTTTTGCACATATGGAACCCATGGGTAGAGCGCTTCCTCCCGCCTAACTTTGATGAATCACTCCTTCTCCCTTGATTTCTATACTGTGCGCCTAAGATACTGTCAATAGTCCTCCGTGGGGCAACACGTAGAGTCTGGGCCCTGCTGTAAACTAGTCGATTGTTTATGGAGTCATTGTTATTGTTCCTCTTCCCATACCCTCCCTTCCTCCCCCGTCTGATCCCCCTCCAAACTTCCCCCTACTTCTTAAATGCACTTAGGAGACGTTATTTCGATTGGCTGGGAAGATAATGTCATCTATCGCCGACTCTTATGTTCCTGCTTTTGCTAGAATTGTATAGACATCTGTAATGTGATCCTCATTCATTTTTCTTCATTGTCCTACTGCCTCTTCAATGTCCAATGTATATCAACAAAGTCTCCTTGTTTGTGTTGTTTAAAGTTTTCTCCTCTTGTTAATAAAAATGTTTGAACAAAGAAAGGAAAAGATAGGTAGGTAAAGTGTGGGTGTAAATGAGGTACATTCAAAATAGAGACTAGATAATACTAGTGGTGTGCAAACTGGCTAAAAATGATATCACGTAGCTCTGTGAATTTCAATGTAACCAGCATTTTGTTTTTTATAGTTGTTATATCAAATGATACGTCATGTGCTTTGCTCTCTTTTTCTCTTTACCTCTAATTCTTTCTTTTTTCTGTTTCTGCCTTAGTTAAAAGGGGACCGTCCCAGTTAAGAGAAATGCGTCATTAGTCTGTCACATATACATTTTCTTCTAACTTCCTCATGTCACTGGTGTTACTGTAACATTACTTTATTACTGATCTATTCATGTCAAATACTTGACTTTATAGCTTATATAATTCTTCTAGAATGTATCGTTAACGGAAACCTATACTGAGAAAATATGCCGACTGATAACCAATTGCCTTCTGGGGGAACGGGAGCAAATTTATTTTTCCCTTGCTGGACCAAATTGTACTTTTATAGGGGTATATACTGTACTTTGTAGGGTTTGTTTTGCCTACCTCTGGATTAGTTGTGGGTATAGAGTTCTGTATATTGAAGTTTTCTATTTATTTACTTTTTTTCTATTGGATAAACTAGATGGACTTTTTTTTCAACCTGACTAAATAGCATGTAACTATAGAGGCTACCGGGGGCGTGTCCAAGATGGCGACCGGACCGGCTGCTTAATCCGGAGCTCCGGCCAAGTTGCACACAATCCGCTGCCATCCAGCGAGCAGCTGCCACGAGAAGAGGTGCGGAGGTCCCACTGAGCCCGCAGAGACACAGCGGAGGGGTGGAGAGTTGGTTTGGCCACCCTCCGTGGCAACAGAGATTCACGCCCTGGTGCGGCCTATTGAAGCCGAGGGACTCGCGCCGCGCTGATCTGGGATCCGGCATCTGGGTGAGTGCGGTCCTTGGTGGAGGGAGGTGAGCGCTGGCATCACACCTCCCTCACCCGGTCCACCGAGCGCCCTCATAGCCTATTGGGCCTCCCCCACCACGTACCCAGAGACAAGGCCTACTATAAAGGCCCTGAGGCCCACGTACAAGCCTGAGGCCTCCATTAGGCCTGCAGCCCACATTGCATCCCAGGACAGACGCCTGGGGGATGGAGTGGTGCTCCTTGTAACCCCCCCCTCCTCCTTCCCCTTGAAGGGACTGGTGGATATCTAATAAAAGGAGTCTGCACATTCTTACTCCCTGCACCTGTTTGCATCCTCACAATTTCAGACACCTGCACCTGACCCCCATCCCTTCTAAGGCCTGTTTTTATCAGTTCACAAGTATATAACTGCTGGGGGGACTTACCCTGAGCCGAGGCAATTGACAACCTAATTACTACAGCCCTGATACACGGAGGCGGATATACATAATATAAGGAAGGTGTCAGGAATGGACTGGCCAGCTATGGTGGGACTCACCTGCCTTTTGATCTGCAGTACCAGGGCTGGCCAGCGGGTGTTCCCAGCAATCAGAGACTCAACTTTGCATCCAGCTAACACCTGTAACTGATTATGCTGGGGTATTTAAGGGATGGCCAGACCCACAGACTCTGCCTTGGTGTGTGTTTGTCCTGGGCCCTGTATCCTGTTTCTGTCCTGCATCCTGTTTCTGAACCGCTGCTGACGTCTCCTGCTCTGATCCCGGCTCGCTCCTGACCATCCCCTCTGTCTGACCCTCTGTACCACGCTGCTTGCTACCTGTTCTGATCCCTGGCTTGTGACCCTGACCAATCTCCGCTTGCTCCCCCTGTACCTACCTGCCCTATTGATATTGACCCGGCCTGCCTGACGACGCTTGCTTGTATGTACTGTTATCTGTGGGTGGTTTGGTTTGGTTTGTTTGCACTGTATTATGTTTTAGTATTGCACTGCGTTTATGTTTGTATTGTTAGTGTTAATAAATTATATTGTTTATAACATATCTGAGGTCTGCGTTTCCCTGCGTCAGTCACACATCTCTGGTCACACCTGGGAGCCCTGACATTACACCAAGGCCAATCCTGACCAGAAGTGGCTGCACAGGGAAGCCATCTTGGCTTGTTGATGGGAAGGATGGATCTGGATGAGGTTGAGTATTTATCTCTGCTAGTGCTTGATGACAGAGAGTATGCTTATCAGACTCTGAAGGAGTATCCCCGGGATGAACTGCTAGAATGTATACGGCTCGCTCATGTTCTAGTAGATCAGGGCACAGATTTCTCTATGGTGCAGCCATTGATTCAGGTTTGTGTTGAGTTGGTTTCATCTGGTTCCCCCGAATGCAGGGATGAATTTTTGCCACCATTTAGTGCAGACCAGGTTGAGTCCCTGGTGTGGTTATTAGAGGATGATGTGGGTTACTTTCTGGAGCGTTATTCCACATGTTCACCACAGACACTAAGAGATTGTATAAACGCAGTGCAGTCATTGACCAGACAGGCTTTGTGTAAGCTCAGCTTTGTTCAACCCCTACTGCAGACATGGACAGACTTGTTGCACCCAGCCTCAGTCAGCTTACAAAAACCCAGTCCTGCTTCTAACTCTACTCCTGTATTCCCACCAGCTCCTCCAGTTACAGCCCAGTATACTTGGCTATCTACCGCATGTCAGTACCCTGTTCCCACTCGCTGCACCTATCCTGCCTTTAACCCTGTAAAAAAGCCCTCTGTAGCAACTGCTCCCTCTCCTGTTCCATCCTCCAGTTTTTCTCTGTCTCCAGCTGCTCCATTCGTTTGCAGACCTGCGTTTACTTGCAGTGCTCCAGTAGTTAAAACCAGAAAAAAGCGAAAATTCTTTCCAACCAATACCATCCTGCCAGTATCCAAACCGGTGAAACCTGCCTTCTGTGACTCAGCCTGAAGCCTCTGCTCAGCCGGATGCCTCTCCTCAGCCGGATGCCTCTCCTCAGCCGGATGCCTCTCCTCAGCCGGATGCCTCTCCTCAGCCGGATGCCTCTCCTCAGCCGGCCTCTCCTCAGCCGGATGCCTCTCCTCAGCCTGCCTGCCTCTCCTCAGCCTGAAGCCTCTCCTCAGCCTGATGAACTGATCCAGCCCGACGATCCTATTAGGCCAGTTGACTCGATGCCCCGCTGTTGATCCAGATGATCCGGTACCTGATCCAGTGCCCGCTGTCGTGCCAATTGACTCAGAGCCCGCTGTCATACCTGGTGACCCGGTGCCCACTGCCTTGCCAGATGACGCGGTGCCCGCTGGCAAGCCAAATGACCTGATGCCTGGTGACCCAGTGCCCGCTGTCATACCTGGTGACCCGATGCCCGCTGTCGAGCCAGACAATCCAATACCTGATGACCCGGTGCCCACTGTCGTGCCTGTTGACTCGGAGCCCACTGTCTTGCCAGACGACTCGGTGCCCGCAGTCTTGCCAGACGACTCGGTGCCCGCAGTCTTGCCAGACGACTCGGTGCCCGCAGTCTTGCCAGACGACTCGGTGCCCCCAGTCTTGCCAGACGACTCGGTGCCCCCAGTCTTGCCAGACGACTCGGTGCCCGCAGTCTTGCCAGACGACTCGATGCCCGCTGTCTTGCCAGACGACTCGGTGCCCGCAGTCTTGCCAGACGACTCGGTGCCCGCAGTCTTGCCAGACGACTCGGTGCCCCCGCAGTCTTGCCAGACGACTCGGTGCCCGCAGTTTGCCAGTTGACTCGGTGCCCGCAGTCTTGCCAGACGACTCGGTGCCCGCAGTCTTGCCAGACGACTCGGTGCCCAGTCTTGCCAGACGACTCGGTGCCCGCAGTCTTGCCAGACGACTCGGTGCCCGCAGTCTTGCCAGACGACTCGGTGCCCGCAGTCTTGCCAGCCAGACGACTCGGTGCCCGCAGTCCCGCCAGTGCCAGACGACTCGGTGCCCGCAGTCTTGCCAGACGACTCGGTGCCCGCCTTGCCAGTTCGCCTCGTTGACTCGGTGCCCCGCAGTCTTGCCAGACGACTCGGTGCCCGCTGTTCCGCCAGTTGACTCGATCGCCCGCAGTCTTGCCAGTTGACTCGGTGCCCGCAGTCCCCCCGACCAGACGACTCGTGCCCGCAGTCTTGCCAGACGACTCGACGACTCGCCCGCAGTCTTGCCAGACGACTCGGTGCCCGCAGTCTTGCCAGACGACTCGGTGCCCGCAGTCTTGCCAGACGACTCGGTGCCCGCAGTCTTGCCAGACGACTCGGTGCCCGCAGTTCCGCCAGACGACTCGGTGCCCGCAGTCTTGCCAGACGACTCGGTGCCGCTGTTCCGCCAGTTGACTCGGTGCCCGCAGTCTTGCCAGACGACTCGGTGCCCGCAGTCTTGCCAGACGACTCGGTGCCCGCAGTCTTGCCAGACGACTCGGTGCCCGCAGTCTTGCCAGACGACTCGGTGCCCGCAGTCTTGCCAGACGACTCGGTGCCCGCAGTTCCGCCAGTTGACTCGATGCCCGCAGTCTTGCCAGACGACTCGGTGCCCGCAGTTTCCGCCAGTTGACTCGATGCCCGCAGTCTTGCCAGTTGACTCGGTGCCCGCAGTCTTGCCAGACGACTCGGTGCCCGCAGTCTTGCCAGACGACTCGGTGCCCGCAGTCTTGCCAGACGACTCGGTGCCCGCAGTCTTGCCAGACGAACTCGGTCGCCCGCAGTCTTGCCCAGACGACTCGGTGCCCGCAGTCTTGCCAGACGACTCGGTGCCCGCAGTCTGCCAGACGACTCGGTGCCGCCTCGGTGCCTGCTGTTGGGGGTGCCCGCAGTCTGTGCCCGCCTCGGGGGGTCCGCCTGCTGTTCCGCCAGGGACCGGTGCCCGCAGTCTTGCCAGACGACTGGGGGTCCGCAGTCTTGCCTGTCGCTCGCCCCGCAGTCTTGGGGTCCCGACGACCTGTCCCGCAGTCCTGCCAGACGACTCGGTGGCAGCCTTCCAGACGACCGGTGCCCGCAGCCCGCCCAGGGGACTCGATGCCCGCTGTTCCGCCTGGGTGGTCCGCAGCCTGTCGCCAGCCGCTCGGTGCCCGCCTGTCGGCCCGGGACTCGATGCCCGCAGTCTGGCCAGACGACTCGGAGCCCGCTGTTCCGCCAGTCGACTCGGTGCCCGCAGTCTTGCCAGACGACTCGCTCGCCCGCAGTCTTGCCCCGAGACGACCGGTGCCCGCAGTCTTGCAGACGACTCGGTGCCCGCTGTTCCGCCTGAGGGACCGATGCCTGTCGCCCGCCAGGGGGTCCGGCGCCCGCCGCTCCGCCTGAGGGCCCGAGCCCACTGTCGTTCCGCCTGGGGACCGGCGCCCGCCGCTCCGCCTGGGGGCCCGAGTGCCTGTCGCCCCGCCCGGGGGCCCGTGCCTGTCGCCCCGCCCGGGGGCCCGGTGCCCTGTCGCCCCGCCCAGGGGCCCGGTGCCTGTCGCCCCGCCCGGGGCCCGTGCCTGTCGCCCCGCCCGGGGGCCCGGTGCCTGTCGCCCGCCCGGGGGCCCGGTGCCTGTCGCTCCGCCTGGTGGCCCGCTGCCTGCTGCTTCGCCTGGTAGCCCGATGTGCCTCTGCCCGGGGTCCTGCCCGATGTGCCTCTGCCCGGGGTCCTGCCCGATGTGCCTCTGCCCGGAGTCCTGCCCGATGTGCCTCTGCCCGGAGTCCGGCCCGATGTGCCTCTGCCCGGAGTCCGCCCGATGTGCCTCTGCCCGGAGTCCGGCCCGATGTGCCTCTGCCCGGAGTCCTGCCCGATGTGCCTCTGCCCGGAGTCCGGCCCGATGTGCCTCTGCCCGGAGTCCGGCCCGGTGTGCCTCTGCCCGGATGGTGTCCGCCCCGGTGTGCCTCTGCCCGGAGTCCAGCCCGGTGTGCCTCTGCCCGGAGTCCAGCCCGGTGTGCCTCTGCCCGGAGTCCAGCCCGGTGTGCCTCTGCCCGGAGTCCAGCCCGGTGTGCCTCTGCCCGGAGTCCAGCCCGGTGTGCCTCTGCCCGGAGTCCAGCCCGGTGTGCCTCTGCCCGGAGTCCAGCCCGATGTGCCTCTGCCCGGAGTCCAGCCCGATGTGCCTCCCGGAGTGCCCGATGTGCCTCTGCCCGGAGTCCAGCCCGATGTGCCTCTGCCCGGTGTCCAGCCCGATGTGCCTCTGCCCGGAGTCCAGCCCGATGTGCCTCTGCCCGGAGTCCAGCCCGATGTGCCTCTGCCCAGTGTACCGCTGCCCGGAGTCCTGCCCGGTGTGCCAGTCTTTGATATCCCGCCAGTTACCAGACCCGGGCGGTGGAACATTTTTCCCAGCTAGGACTGTTTGGAGCGTCCTGAGGCCGCTCCTTGAGGGGGGGGGGGGGACTGTCAGGAATGGACTGGCCAGCTATGGTGGGACTCACCTGCCTTTTGATCTGCAGTACCAGGGCTGGCCAGCGGGTGTTCCCAGCAATCAGAGACTCAACTTTGCAGCCAGCTAACACCTGTAACTGATTATGCTGGGGTATTTAAGGGATGGCCAGACCCACAGACTCTGCCTTGGTGTGTGTTTGTCCTGGGCCCTGTATCCTGTTTCTGTCCTGCATCCTGTTTCTGAACCGCTGCTGACTTCTCCTGCTCTGATCCCGGCTCGCTCCTGACCATCCCTCTGTCTGACCCTCTGTACCACGCTGCTTGCTACCTGTTCTGATCCCTGGCTTGTGACCCTGACCAATCTCCGCTTGCTCCCCCTGTACCTACCTGCCCTATTGATATTGACCCGGCCTGCCTGACGACGCTTACTTGTATGTACTGTTATCTGTGGGTGGTTTGGTTTGTTTGCACTGTATTATGTTTTAGTATTGCACTGCGTTTATGTTTGTATTGTTAGTGTTAATAAATTATATTGTTTATAACATATCTGAGGTCTGCGTTTCCCTGCGTCAGTCACACATCTCTGGTCACACCTGGGAGCCCTGACAGAAGGAGGGACACAGCTGAGATGGGGAAAACGGATAGGAGAGCAGCCACCCCACGATCCAGATCTCCTCGCCGGCCGAGTGGCCCTACTAGCAGCAGCATTCCAGAACTATTCTGGTCTCAGACCCCGGAGCATTCTGAGCCCGACGCTCCAGCTTTTCCCCCACGTTAGCCTTCCGGAGTTTCTCACTCCCATAGCAGATGTCCGCCCGCAATACCCGCAGCCGGCCATCCTGAAACCTCTCCTCTCACTATAGGGGATTTGAAAGCATTAGCATCAGATATAAAAGAGACCCTCTCTGCTGCAATAGCTGAGTTACATATCGACATGCAGGCAGTGGCCCAAAGGCTTGAAGCGGTGGAAAAGTTACCATACAGGAACTTGCCATCCATGGTATGCACAAACTGGTAGATAAGCACACTATCCATTAAGAGCGCTTGACCGTCACATCGAAGACCTTGATAACGGGATGACGACAATCTAAGGGTGCGAGGTGTTCCTGAAGCAATTGAATCCGGCCATCTCACCCAAAAGTTATTAGCCATTTTCAATGCCCTTTTAGAGAAACCTCTAGAATCCCCAATTGAGTTTGAACGTCTCCATAGGGCGCTGCGTCCGAGAGTAGTAGTAACGCTGATCCTCCGGGAGATATAATATGCTGCTTAGTCGACTTTTGACTTATGGAAGAAATATTGCGCAGAGCAAGAGATCGAAATCACGTGATATATAATGGAGCAGAAATCAAACTCTTTCAGGACCTCTCTCATCTTACTTTGCATTGCAGAAAGGACTTACGCCCTCTGTTGGAGCTACTCCGCTCCAGGGGTTTTGCTTACCGCTGGAGATCTTCATTTGGTCTCTCAGCAACACACATGGGACGTTCAGCCCTTCTGAAATTCCCAGAAGATATTGCACTGTTTTGTGAAGCTCTTGATATTCCTATTATAGAAATACCCAATTGGTCAAGCGAACTCCACCTCCCTTCTTCGACATAGGAAGACCCAATGGAGGCTCAATCTGCTGGACATCCTGGAGGAGCCAGAAGACGTAGACTGTCTCATCCCATCTTGTCCTCTCCTGTCCGATGAAGACTCATCACTGGGGACAGTCTTCCAACCTCACCAGCCCATCGCAAGGCATGTCATGATTGACACTTCCCTGTTCCCCCGCTTCCCTATACCTGTGCATTGCCATCCCCCCATTTTATGGCTACTCTTACACCTAAGCGAATATGTCTCGAGGCTTCTACCTAACCCAAGTCCCGCTGCACCTTTAATGGAGCACCTACCCGCCTCGGAGCAAGATGTACGGGTATGTGTATTACAATGTCTTACCTCCCTCGCACATTATATGTCTGCTATATTTGTTCACCACTTTTGAATATAGATACTGAGATCACACTAATTTTTGTTCCTACCCGGCTGCATGGTAAGGATAATCCTAGAGCTTTGGCCCATAGCCTTACCAACTAGATAAGTTTGCTTATCTAGTTCATGATGGCCTAATACATTATCCTGATAGCTTCAAATGAGACTAGAGTCTTTCTTGGCTTGGGATCCAGTGACACAGGCTGCTCATTTTCCTTGAAGTTGGCCTGAGTCGCTGAATCTCGGAACATTTTGCTATTGGTATCCTTGTACGGGGAATCTCCTACAAATATGGTCTTGTGTTTGCAACAGGGCGATTTATTGAGGCCCTCCTGAATGG